CTTATTTAATAATATGTAAAAGTTATATAAAAATTTATATAAAAAAATTTATTTCACTACCTTATTAGTTAATAATTTATTTTTTAAATAAATAATAAAAAATATTTATAATATAAAATTATTTCAAACTATAAAATATTAATTTGTAAGTAGTAAAGCATCCTGATATTAAGGTTATCCTCGAGTTCTTATTTCAAAGTGTGAACTCAACAACCTCAATAAATAAACTGTTAATACTTGAAAAGGGCTGGCTATTCACAATTTTAAATTGCGGGCCGAGCCCGAGTAAATCCATGTTCCAGACTTTCTGACCCATTCTGGAGATCCATTGGCTTTTTATTGTGGCTCTCCAGAAGTGGACAATGAACATGATGATGAAAATGTAAAAGAAAAGAACAGCTGAGATGAGAAACTCAAAGTAGGAATGATAAGGATTAATGCCATTGGCATCCAATCCGAAAAGAAGGGGATAAGGATCTTCAACTTCCTGAAATTAATTGATGCGCTTTTATTATATTCGTTTTCATTTGGTTAAATATATTGTATAATTTTGTGATATTTTTTATTTTGAAGCTCCTCTATATATTATCCCAATTCTATCCCCAAGAAATAGATTCTCTTCAATCTGTGATATCCACTTGCATTGTACGGGTAAGCAAGCACCTCTACCACCCTTCTCTCTACATCATCCAGCATGAACCCCTTGATTCGTGAAATCAAGCAATTTCTCACTTCTACGATGGGTCGGCACTCGGCAGGTTGGAGTTTAGCTCAGCAGTACTACTTTCTAGTAACTCTCCTTAGCAATTGCTGTTGCAACAATACATGCTTTGCAGACTTTTGACTTTGGAGCAGAAACACCAAATATTTGTTTGTTTTAATAAATTAATAGTATATAATTAAATAAAGATTAATAATATTTGATTGTCTACTACTCTGTCTATAGCAGGAATTTTTTAGAATAAAGGAAAAGCATCTTAATGATGACCAAGCCATTTTAATTGTCATATTATATAGTATTGTACTCGATCCTTTGCTTCCTCCATAACATAATGGAAGATTATCTCCTTCTGTAGGGTTGGAGTTCTTTTTGCCTTGATTTATTTCTTCTAGCTTATGCCACCACAATTATTTCCTTAGCTATCTAAGCAGTGCCATCTGAATGAGGAGACAAAGAATGTGAAGGTAATGAAAAGAGATGCTCGGAAGACTAGCTAGTCTTATATGAAAGTAGGTTAAATGCTAAATTTGGTCCCTCAACTTTACGAAATGAACATTTTTGATCCCTCAACAAATTTTTGCACTTTTTTGATCCCTCAACTATACGAAATGCACTCCGTTAGTCCTTCTGTTAATTTGGACCGTTAACTCGCTTATATGGCATTTTTTATAATTTTTTTGATGACGTGACAAAAACAAAGTTAAAACGTGTCCACCTAAAATTTTTTTTATTACAACTCATCCCAACTCAGATTATTATTATTTATATTTTTAAAAAATAAAATAAAATAATTCTATTCCATCTTCT